TTAATGCCAGCATCAAGCAACAGCTGCCCATACCAATAAAGTATGTTCCACCTGAGAACATTCCAACAGAATCTGGCTCCGATTGGAAGCGTAATGCAACAGGCTTGATAGCCGTGCGAGATATCAGCATTTTAAAGGAGATCTTTAGCAAATTCGCTGAGCACTAAATGTTGTTTTTGTTTTATACCCCGTTTATTATTGCTGTTGTCGCTAATCTGTTGTTGTTCTTTGTATCGCATAAAAACTGAAAACCAACTACCCATTTTTAAAATGTTGATCTAACACAACGGACAAGTGCCAGGTAACCGAAACAATCGTGGGCTTGCTAATTAGTACCTTCAGCCCATTAAAAGTAAAAGGTAACCGATATGGAAATATCATTTATAGTAAGATATATATATTTTTCTTATAACATCAATTGCAGTGAAAACTAGAACAGCAGCTGTCGGGCACGATTTCTCCGCTCAAAAGGAGTATCCGGCTAAAGAAGGTAAACGGGTGGGCCTTTTCAAAAATTTGTTGGTATTAATCCAACTCTTGATACGTTTACATATATATATATATATATATATAAAGTCAGCTCCCGGCAAGCTGCATAAAGTATAGAACTATATATAGCCTTTTATATATTTTCTCTTAAGACAATTCCTTAGAAAACAGTCAGCTATAAGCAACTGACAGCTATAAGCAATAAGATTCATTGCAAGGGAGATTGAACAATAATTGATTCACACAGACATATAAAGATATCAATTAACAAGATAATTGCCTATTTCTCTCTTTTCCTATGCTTATCTCACGTCTACTTTCCCGAACGCAATGAAAAGTAAAAATTAAACACTTTTTGAAAGTCGCGACAATAATCTGCCTTCTTGAACAATCCAATTCAAAAAATTTAATACGCATAGTCAATTATGAACATAAAATTTATTCGAAGTTTCAAGTTTCTCAGAAACAAACGTAGCATTATATATTAATTATAAATATATGTATATGTATATGTAAAAACATAACAAAAGGACGTTATCCATATCGTCAAAAATGAGGTTTTTTAAAGTAAATGAAAATTAAATAAGTTCCTGGGACAAAATCTTGTCCAAATGTGGAATGCTAATAAGACGAGAATTGGGCTCAGGTCCTTCGAGCACATTGCAGAGTATTTTATTTTTATCTGCCAGATATTCCTCAAGAATCATGAAATTTTTTGATTTATCAAAACCTGAAATTAGGTAGAATATTTTATATAAGTCCAATGGGAATAAGTTTATTCAAACGCTTACCATCTATAAAGCATTTGGTGGCATATACTCCATGCAGCACCTCGGACGGAATTGGTTTAATCCGCTCCAGGGGGACAACTTCCGAGTTTCCAAAGTCACAATACAAAATGCTAGCTTTCTGCCCGCTAACACGCTGGCAAACGCCACGGTACCAAGAATTGTCCTCGGAAAAAAGTGTCAGGCACAGTTCGCCAACGCTGTTGAAGAGAGACAGGATTTAATAATTACAGGCCTTGCTAAAATATATTATTTACTCAGGTAAATAGCCCGGCTTCAATGTATCGTCTACAATGCCAATGCTGGCCACACGATCGAGCAGCTTCTGGAAATTTACTGCGACCTTCTCGCTGGAGAAGAAGCAAGCTGTTGCGTATCCACATTTATGCAGATCCGTAGAGTTTAGGATCAAAACTATCATATTTTCGCCCAGCGGTAAGAGATGACGCTCCAAATCATTGAAGTAGTGTCGTTCCACAGCTTTAGAAGACTTTTCATTTTCTATCGGAGAATTTGGCGGCGAAGGTGGAAGCGGCGGCACTTCAATGGCTGATATTTGCTCGGCTTGTAGCGCCTTGATGGGCTCCGGCGCAACAACCGGGCATGCAGGTAAGCTCATAGCTGGCTCCAGCTCGACTGCAACTGGCGTAAACATCAGGGGCAGCATGCGGGTCATCAACGATTGCGGCTCGGCCGAAAAGTCAAGCAAATCAACTGTTTTACCATCGGCATCTTCAAAGTCCACCTGCATCTCCGTTTTCTGGGCAAAGAGCTTCATCAATGTCTGCAGAGCAACTGTATTTGGCGGCACTGCCGACGACGGTATGTTGCAGATGGTTTTGATTTTGACGCGGCATTGGCACACGGGCAAGTTCTCAATAAATGGACAAGGCATGCGAAGGTAATTCCGTGCCACATTATGCGTGGAGCCCGTGTCGATGTTACGAACAACAAACTTATTGTTCTCCACTCCAGTAATCTGTGGTCAAACATAAAATGTATTACTAAACGAATCAAATAGACAAATATTGTTGCTAACCTCTGCACGAAAGTTGCCTCGACTGGGACTCACGACAAGCACAAGGCTTCCAACCACGACATCACTGGACTGCCTAAATGGTGGACACTTTGGTTCCACGTATTTAAAGATATCTTCGTACTGCTTGGTCTGCACAGAGCTGATGCAGATCTCCTGGTAGTTGATGACATGCGAGATGTACACCAAGCTACCGTTCTCAATCGACTCCCGCCAGTATTTGTGGCCCAGGTCGCACACGCGGCCCAAGAACGTCATGGCGCGCACAGCGCACACTTGGGTATTGTCGACCAGCAGCGATGCCTGGACCGTGCGCAACTTGTCCTTGCTGTGCAAGTTCTCCATGCAAAACTTGATGCATAGACTGTCACCGGCTTGCATAAGCGCCTGCTGCAAGGATCGCGTGTAGTCCTCTGCTGGAGTGACGGCAAACACGCGCAATGCATGGCCGAGTAGCTCACTGGGAATGCGGCACACCTCGTCGGTCAACGAGACGCGGCCCTCGTCCATTTCGTAGACCAAAAACAGCATGGGCTGCTCTATGAAGTCAAGCAACATGGCACGCCGATAGCCCTGCTTGGTACGGGCCGCCAGAAAGAATGTACGTATCTCTTCGGGAAAGGGCTCAGTGAATTGCAGTCCAGGCTTGTCACTCAGCCTGGCGTTCAAGTCGTCATTTAAATTGCTCATAACCTTAATTTGCAGCAAAGCCACCTGGGGCTCCTTGAGTGCGGCGTCATGTTGCAGAGTTCTTACGAAGCTTACCTCCGGATTAATGGCCAGCATTTGAACCGGTAAGTTGAGGGGAATTGTCATTTTGGGCTTCATTTGCACCTGCTCGATGCCATCAGGCGTCTGGCTGCCTAATAGGCGCAATGTTAGATTCTTGTTGATCTGCACACCCGCATTGGTGGGCAGCTTAACCCTTAAGGCAAACGCATTGTACTCGGCCATGCGCGGCACAGGCAAATACATGTCCTGCAGTTCGCTTCTAACAACTGCACCATAATCAATGAGTCGCACCTCGGCGCTGGCATTCAGTGCGATCACTTCACCGCGATACATTTTATGGTCAACGTTGACGCCAACCAAGTCGCCAACAAGAATATTCTCAAATAAACATGATTTCTGGTACTGCATGCTGCGCGCCATGTTGTTGGTGAGACGCTCCAGGCGCTCAGCATTGGCTATATCCACAACCCAAATGGATCCATCCTTTTCCATGTAAGTGACGCGACACTCGAAGAACAACTTTTCCGACGGCATCACCGGCTCACGCCATGCCTGACTCAATTGCTTCTCAATTGGCTCGCCAATCGTTAAATCCTTTACCATAGGTTCAAGTGCGCTGTGTTCATTTAGAATAGGAGTTGGACTTGATGCTTTGTTACCGACATAGGTAGGAGCTGCTTCATGCCTAGAAGCCGCCGCTGGTATTGAAGCCTTTACCAAGGGTCTAGAAAAATAGAATATAGTTAACAACAAATACAAAGCGAAACATGATACAGAATATACACATAGACGCAGTCGGGCTTTGAGAAATTTTGTTCTACGCGTTACATAGTTCGTCATAAAATCAAAATATTCTTGTAAGGGTATATTCAAACTGCTCGAAAAAAAAATAGCACCAAGGCAGAGACCGATCACCAATACATGCATACATAAGGTTGTATGTGTACCCCTTCTTAGTTAATGTAGTAAAACATTTTTTAATCAATTTTAAAGTGCGCATTCATACACACACATACACATGCACATAAAGTTGCATATGCATGCATTTTACACACTGCTACTTACGGCATTATGGAACAGAAATATTTGTGGCGCTGCCAATCCCTGCGTTGACAGACGTCGTTGCAGTAGGGTTCTCCGCAACGCTGGCACATTAAACTGGCCCAGGTGCCGCAAACTATGCACGTCAGTTTATCAATATCCAAGCTCATGATTGACGCTAAGCAATGATTCACAAGAAATTGTTTTTAGAAAAGCAGAATCACGCGGTCTAGACAGAAACCGAGAAAGATGGCGGACCTAACGGTTGTTCAGTTTACGCAAAGTCGAATGTACACATGTATATGTATGTCTATAAATCCAAAGTATGCGATGCGCTACAATTCCACAATATTAATTTTCACTCTGGTAGCATGCTTATTACTTATATAATGTTAAATAATTTTGAGCAGTAGCAAGTTACTTAATCTCAGCGATTTTTTAATAGCTTTTGCGCATTTAAATGCGGTGCAAACTCGCGAATTATCGATATGTTCTTGCTTCAGCTAATTGTGCGACCGTTTTGATGTACTCAAAATGCACTGTTCCACTCGGCTTGTATTTTTTTCGGATTATGCAATGTTAATGTACGGCGACTGGTATACTCAACTGGTACTGTGCACTGTACTGTACACCAGTTTACAGTGCTGGTAAACAGATTCAGATATTTTATATTTGAAATTGTACTTGATACTTGCTTTCAAATTTTTCAAATGAGACTTCGAGTGCAGCGTCGATATAGTAATGAACGAATAATGTTATGAAGAGTAACTTAAAAATTTGAAAGACAAAATAATTGGGTGTTTTGCTTAGCTAACATATGGAGGGTCCAAACGATACAAATAATGTTTCAATTAAAGCTTTCGGAGTTGGGCTTAAAACATGATGTTATTTCATTGAGCCCATCTGGCAACTCTGTAATTGTGACGGCTAACATACAAGTGCTTTTAAGCAAGCTTTAGATTTGTCGTCCGTAGAAGTCTTTCTCTCTTTTTATAAGCGGACAAACGTGTGTTGGGTGCGAAAGCCAAATTGGCTTGCTTTTATTATCCTGCAGAAAGGGAGATAGGTAAGGTGCGACAGAGACAGGCTGACACTGCATTGTATTACTGGTTGTTTGTGTTGTTTCCAGCAAAGTGTGACGATTCCGTGCAATTAAAGCTGCTTTTGTGGATGTCTCAAGTCCAGACAAATGGTCTCGGATGCAAGCGGAAAACACTCTCTCTCTCACACACACACACACACACACATATGTTAACAGCCACAGATGGTTATTGCAGGCATAACGCCTGCTGCACGCCGAATTAACGGCAGTTGAATGTGCAGTTACATGTATTGCTTGTATTTGTATTATTGTATGTTTGTATGTATGTTAATGTGCAGCATACTTGTGTATGATATTGAATGCAATTCACTGTAAAGATATCTATACATGTGTGGACACATTGTTATTATTAAGTAGCTTTTCATCGGCTACAACTAAAGTTCGCTAATGACCTGTAGGAGCTGCAGACGAGGCAGGCTCGCAAACGTTGATAAAGGCAACGGCTAACTTAAAGCCAACCTGGGCGCAGGCGTCACGCACACAGACACACACACACACACACAACCGCAAACAAAATACACACAGTGTCTTTAATTGCCCTGCTGCCGGGCAGGCAGGCAGGCAGTCAGGCGGGAATCAAGCGGTTAAGACAGCCCGTTTCGCTTGGAGTCGCACGTTTAGTTAACGTTGGGTGGGATTTATGTTTGCCGTACATGCATGTTGTACAAACAATTTAGCTGTAACTGTGACATTCACATACAAGCTCACACACACACAGAGACGCAGACACGCAGACACGTTCGAACATGCACACCCAACTGGCGACCTCCATTTAACACCAAACGTGTCATTTGTGGCCATTTGCTGGTTGGTTTGCCTTGCTCTGCCTCTGCATGTGCTTTATGGAGTTTTCCAGCTTTTGTGGTCTATTAAGTGGCCCGCAACAGTAAATCAAAATACGTACTGCATAATCTTTATGAGGCCTGGCACACACACACACACACACACACACACACAACACGCGGCGTATGAGTTATTTAACGCAAAGTGAGCAACAAGCGGCCGAATTACATTTTGAGTTGTCCCGTTAAAATTACACAAAGTGCCAGCAAACCGTTACCAGGGCTTAGAACTGGCGACTGACAACAAAGCGAAATGAATGTGGATGTAGTATAAACTGAAGTTCATTATAGCTAAAAACAAACGAGCAAAGTCTTAAGCCAGCTAGAAAGAACTTTGCCGCGCATGCAACAGTGGCAGCAACAATTTCCCCTTGGCAGAGACACTGACAAGACAAAGACCAAGACTAGCCAAGTAAATTGCACTTGGAGAATGTTTCTATAATTACCAAAGAATATACAAATCTGTGCAAACAGAAAACTTTTATTTGTGCTGCAGCTTACAGCTGAGTCCGGTATTAAAATCCTTAAAATGTTCCTACATAAACTTGAATAATTTATATTATGACTTGAACAAGGAACATTGATTTTTGATTCAATCATTGTTTACAAACCAAAAATTTGTTTTTTCTTTCTTTAATTTACATATAATGATTAAAATAATTTACATAAATTTAAATAATTTATATAACGACTTGAACTGATTGACTTTTGATTTAATTATTATTTACAAACGTGTTATGAGCCAGAATTAGTTTTTCCTTTTTAAATTAACTTAGTGACAGTTTCATTTATTAGTTAATTTAAGTTGTTTTAGAATTTTTACAGTGCATCCGGTCAGCACACACGCGCAAACCTTTCCCAAAGCAACAGGAAGCCGCACACACACACACACACAAGCACATTCTTGTATGGATGAATAGGTTAGGATGCGTGGCGCAGTGCATAAAGTTGTCTATCTAAGGCCGTTATTGTGTGTATGTGTGTGTGTGTGTGTGTGTGTGTGTGTGTTTCTGCCTGAGTATGTGGAAGGTAAGCTTGTATTAAAAGCATATAAAAAGCAACGTTTAAAAGGCAAACTGGCAGCGGGACAATGAGCAGCGCCGCGCGCAAATAAACAAATTAATAAAAGCCAAATAAAAATACAACAAACAGAAGAAAAACACAAGAAAAACACGAGTCATAAATTAAATAGAAACAACGAAAATTACTTACCCAAAAAGAGAGGCCGCCCGAAACGGCGAATGTGTCCCCTTTGCTGTGGCTGTCAATTTTTTTTTTGTGTAGCATACACACAGGCGCGCGTCAAAAATGAGTGTTTGGGTGCGGGAGCGGGAGCGGGGGTGGGTGCGGGGCAGCAGCATTGGGTCCCAGCACGAATAATCTACTAGCGATTTATTTGTTGCTGTCGCCGCGTTCGCTGCCGTCGCCGACGTCGCTGCCAGCGCAGCCATCGCTGCTATTTTTGTTACTTCTTTTTCATATTTCTACTTACTTTCAACTAATGCCAGCCGACGAGGCTCTGCCAATGGGCCATAAAGTAACTGCTGCTGTTGCTGCTGTTGCTTTTGGTGTTCGGCTTTTCTAGCTCGTCAACATCGGCGTCAGCGTTGGCGTCGTTGTCCTCGCCATCGTCGGAGCTCGTGCGCCGCAGTCGTGCGTTATCCTTTGCTCCAGTCGGTTGTGCACGCGCTTGGCATAAGTCTGGCGCAACATTTTCTCGCCAATTTGCTTACTTGGCTGCGAGACACGTCCAGTGCACACACCTGTGCGCGCCACTAGGCGCTGCCTCTGCCTCTGCGCCAGAAAACATACCAAATTTGCACCTAAATTGCTTTAAATTATCGGCACAACATTTGGCACGCGCGGAGTTTGCACGGCGCGATTTGAGTATTGTTTGCTGCTGCTGCTGCTGCTGCTGCTGCTAATGGGTGTTTGTTTGGCGGTTTAAGCTGGAAAAGCGAAAGGAAAAACACCATCACCGTTAAGTGTTTTCCAACTTGAAGGCATTAAGTCTGGCTCCACTTTGGCCGGAGCTCGTCAAATCTTGGTAAGCAGTTACTTGTTTTTGTTTCTTACCCAAAAGCCTTTTAATTGTTTAAAGTTTACCATTTTGTGACACAATGGCATTGTTTCGATGAAAACAATTAGTTGTTACCAAAAGGTTCGCTTAAAAGCCTTTTTTTTTAATTATTTAAATGAGTTTTCGGGTTATGCCTATGAATGTGATATTTGTTCCTATTGTAACCGAATCTTAAATTCTATTTTGGTGCTTAACTTAACGTGGTTGAGATTTGTTAAATTCATTCCGCACGCATATGAAATATTACTTTTCCGAGACTCCTGAAGCGTGTAAGCAACTGTCCCGAGCCGTCACCTTGTCGCACCTGCCCACAACAGCATTAACATGTTTCTTTTCTAAGCTCCGATGTGCTTTGCGTGTGTGCAGGCCGCGACGGTTTGTCTTTCCACCTTCAAAGTAGCTGTGCTCCTGTTGTGGCGCCTGTTACTCATATTCACGCATAAATTTTAATATTATTTCTATGCTTTAAGTGGCCCTCGAGCCGTGTTTTACCATGTTTGTCTGTCTATTCTGTTGTCTGTCTGCTTGGCTGTGTCGTCTGTTTGGAGTCTCCCTCCCACTTTTGGCTTCCCAAAAATAGCACACGGCATGCACTTATCCTTGAATGTAAATTTAAATATATAACATTTACATTCATGTGCCCAAAATAGATGGGGGTTCTTTTGTTTGTTACCACATTTAGGTCAAAGAGAGACAAACTAACAAAGCGATGCAGCTAAATTCAATTTCATAACTATTTGCATTTTGGGCAAAATTAAATTGTATTAAATATAACGTGTAATATATAAACCATGTAATATATGTAAATATTTACTTAAGAAAGTTAGATAATTATTTTAGTTAAGCGAAGAAAGGAGGAATAAGAGGAGATTGTAAAATAAAGCGCGTGGAAGAGGCAGAAATTAGATTATAGCTAGGGGCAGAGATCCAGCACTACAGTACTCTCTCGCTAAGCACAACTCAACAAAGCTCAATTGCAAAGCTGAGGTATATTTTCTATAAACAAACGGATTTTCTTATAAAGTGACTTGTATTAATTTTTGTATAGAGCAATTATTAAATTTTGAAAATTGAGAACTTTTGGTACCACAAGATTTTGCTTGTATCGAGCGATGCCTTGAGCGAGTTCCTACTGTACTTAAATTCAAGGCATGAAAAACTGCAAAATACAAACATACCTTGTACATTTGCATACTTTGAATTACATACAAATCCGAAAAATTTCACAAACTTATATATATACATATATATTGTCTAAAATGTAAGAAACTGAAAATAGGCCAGCGATATACAATATTGGTTCGAAAAGAACAATATACACGCTTACACGTTTTCTGGGCAATAAAATAAGTTTAAAAATATCTGAAATATATGAGATGCAGTCAATTAAGTATTCTATAAATGTTGCTGATTGGCGGCCCTTAATATAAAGCAGCATGCGCAATTTACATATTCGGGCATTTCAATTATTTTTACACTGAAGTGTGGGCAAACACACGTGGTCATCAGTTTTGCAATTGGCTCTGTGAGTATTTTCCATTAGCACATTTCATTTTAATTAAGCTGGCAAGTGTCACGTACTTCAGTTCAGCTTTATTCTGCATTGAGAGCTGTCCCCCTACCGCACCATCGTTCTCGCTCTCTGCCGCCTTACATGATTGCAATTTACCTTTGCCCGTCGAAGTGTCAAGTGGTAGCCGTGAATGTTACACAAAGTTCACAATGTTCCAAATTGGCCGCCCACCTGTCTGCGCGCTCGCCCGTATCCACAATCAAATTTGTTCAAATTTGTTCAAACTACCCGAGGACGCATGCATTTGACCCAAATCGGTTGTGCTAAAAACACTTGCTTTGAATTGAATTAAATCCAATAATATTTAGTTGAGCCAAATTTGGCGCAATATTCAAAAGTTTTACCGAAAAGTTCCATACAAACAGGCGCCTTAATTGAACGCATTTTAATCGCTGTGCGCCGCCAAACTGATTGCACTCTATTCGCTCTATTGGTCCGAAAATGTTTTCAGACTCCTTGTACACCCTTCCAACAGATTTATCCTATGCGAGCTATTTGATATGGCAGTCCGATATGCAGGTAGATAATGCTCCTGTTAATCAGTTCTTCCTAAGCAGCCATAGAAGTCGTGGGAGGATAAGAGTTTACTTAAGTGTAGGAGGCTTAAGATCTGATTCCAATTGTAAGAGCTGACAACGTAGTATTAGCCGTAATGTGGGGATCATATTGATGATAACTAATTGCAAATTTTGTTTTAATTCTAAGAAATAAAAACATATTTCAATTGGCATTTGCTATATATATATATATACATATATATATATACTAGCTGCAACAAAAAAGAAGACAGACAAACGAACATGTCTATATAGACTTGGTTCTTGATCAAGACGTCTTTTTCTACGAACCTCACATTAATATATTAAAACTGACTCAAAAAGATAAACAAACATGTCTATATCGGTTTGTTTGTGAATCAAGAATATTTATACGACATGGCGCCAAAGACGTCTTTCTACACATTTCGTGGCAGTTGATATTGCCCTCTGGCAGGGCATACAAAGAAGGAGCATTAAAAGTTTGGCGAGTTGGGCAGCGTTTATTTAAGTTGTTGCTGCCAATTGTTGGCTTTGAAGTAGTTAATTAAGTGATTGCCTGATTGACGACCAAGCCAGTCATCCGCCCCCACTCCACACGGCTAACCAAGCGAAAAAATATTTCCAGTTACTGATTTGATTTTTAGTGGGCTGAGTATTGAGTAACAATTTCCAGCTTGGGCCTTTAATTGGCCACAACATGACAGAGAGAGAGAGAGAGAGAGAGGGAGAGGGAGAGAAAAATGTTCCAGCAGCAGAACAACAAAAGTAAATTAAAGCTGTCGATTCCGGGGCGACTTAAGAGCGAAGTGCTCTGTCGACTGCAAGTGCCAGGGTCAATTAGAAGGGCCATAACAGAATTAGCCTTGATAAGTGTGTGCATTGCTGCAATAGCTGGCAATAGCTGTAGCAGGACGCAGCCAGCAGGATGAGTTTGAGGCTCCTTCGTTTGATTGATAGTCGAGCGGAGTGCAAAACATGACAGGAATAACAAGGTTACCCGTACGTAAGGCCAGCAGCAGCAGCACACATATTCGATTTGTGCACAGTTTAATTCAGCATCATATTTGAGTTATAAATAGATAAAAAAAAAAGCAAATATATGAATGCCCAAGTGGTTGACTAGGAAACGGCTTGTATGTAAGTACAAAGTGAACTACCTGTGCGTATATCAAAAGACATTTTATTTGTTATTTATTAAGAGTTGAACGTGTGTCAAGCCAAGTATTTAGTACACAAAAATACATGAATTGCAATTGAATAAAAATCCATTATTTGTTACTCAATTCTTTGGAACTAGCAGATACCCTGTTCCTATCCCAAGCCAAGCTATCGTTGCAAGCATTCTGGCTCTCTTTTATATCAAGACACACACACACACTCCCGCACACCCGAGCATGCACTTTGCATTCTGCGCAATTTACACAAAGGTTGTGCAACCTCTTCACTTTGCATTCTTGAATAGATTCGGTGAATAATGTTTCTGTATCTTATATATATTATAGCTAGCCGATTCCAGTTGCTTGCTTCAAATTTAAGACATCAATTTTGCCGCCCTTGCAAAATCGACATCTGCCCGTTCTAAACTTAAACTTCACAGCTCGAGTCATATTTTAATTATTTTTTTTGAAAATTAATTCGACTTAAAACCAATCAAAGTTTTTCGTTCTGAAAAAAACAAACAATTTTTTAACCTTTCAACTGAGTTTTCACAAAATCTTTAAAAATTGTACTAAACAAAAAGTATTTCTCACATTTGCGTTAAAAATTTCTAAAACGCCAGCACTTGTGCTCATTATGTAGAATTGGGTTCAGAAGGTTTTAAAATTCTGCCACGAAGCTCCATTTATATAAGTAATGCAAATCTTTTGCCTTTTAAGAATCATTAGCATATATTTTTAACTATGCCGTTTTTGACAATTTTATTAATATAAGATGAGATGAAATAAGTTAAGCAAAATGAATCCCTGCCGCATGCCTGTTCCAAAAAAGGTTTGATCTAAGCCCAAAAAATGGCGAAATAAATTCAATGTTTGGGTTTTAAGGTATTTGATGTGGTTCAATTAAAATATTTTTCAAATTTATTTTTTTAATAATGGCTTGGCTTGGCTTTTGATTCGGCTGCGTTTGTTGGACTTAAACTTATGTTCATGGTCAAAAATAAATTGGAATGCCGAGCACGAATAGACCCAAATTTGTAATTAATTTTATTTTTATGCGCTTAGCTGAAGAGCTGAAGGCCTGGACGCTAGCGCTCCTGTGTTAAAATTAATTATAGTGTTATTTTTAATGTGAATGTATTATAGTAAATCAAAGTTAAAAAGAAAAAACGCTCTGCCCCTGTTGTACATATTCAAATGGAACTAAGTGCATCCAATATTATTTCTACTTGAAGTAAGGCTCCAATCCTCAAAGTCTACAATCAAATGAATTTTAAATATTAATATCTAATTAGTATAGCTAACTAGCTAGTGACTCTTTTCCCATTTCCATTAGTCAACTGACAAACTACACACTTAACAGTTCGCCCTGTGCTCCAAACTTGAGTCCAAACTTGTCTCACATTACTCATACGCACCGTTGCCCAAAGCATTTCCGTGTACATTCTTAATGTGTGCGCCACGAAATGTCGCCCTGACTGATTAACAGTCATTCGGGTTGAATAAAGTAGCTAAACAAATGCGATATTCGGGCACAGTTGTAAGTGTATCGCCATGGTGATGTCTATGGCTTCCGATGGCTGTCAGTTGGAATTTGGCTGCTCAAACGTTTGCAGCACTTGCTTTTGTTTTTGATACTGTCTGCTGCTGGCTAAAAATACAGGGCCATGTTTTGTGTATCTAAGAGATACACATCGT